TTTAAAAAAATCTATGTACCCTATATATTAGAATTATCAAATAAGCTGCCATTTTCTGACAAAAATCAGACTATATTCATGCTAGTATGAATATATTCCAATAAAAAAATCCAGCAGATCATTTGGTAATTTTCTAAAATATTCTCAAAATTTCTATAACAAGCTGATTATTTAATATTTTGTTTGAAATTCATTATGGAACTGTCTCAGAGAACAAATAAGATGGTAAGAAAATCAATATTATTTATGTTATTTACATTTAAAAATTATAAACATTAACAATTTCAGCCATAAATTTATTTAAGTAAATAATAATCAAACTATAAATACTAATATGTAAATTATATGTCATTGAAAGAAAACCAGATTCAAATAAAAAATATTTTGAATCCAGGTGGAATCTGAACTTGAATTCAGACTCCACTCATGGCAAAAATACATTTTATAAATGAATTGTGGTATTTTAGGTAATTAAAAGATTTAGCTTATTGAAGAACATGAACTTGAATATACTTGTCTCAAACATTTTTTTTCTATCTAGATCTTGATTTCTTTCTATGAAGAAGCATTTTATATCAGGATTTTTATTTTATATATTATTTGTTTATTAATATTTTAATAGTAAATTCTATTAAATAATATAAAAATGGATGAATGACTGAGCAATTTAGGTGGCAGCCTACTGCTCTGGGGACCCAGGATCAAATCCAGATGGATCGAAAAAACTCAGAAATTTTTGGGGGTGGTTTGTCTAGATATGATGGTCCCCATCTTTCACTACATGTCCATCCTATAGTGTGCTTGATAAAAAAAAATTCATAATAGGCTTGATTAAAAAAACAACTCTCTTAGTTTCCATATGGCAGAGTTAAAAAAAATATAAAGATGGATGTTTTTATTTAATTGAATTCCTTTAGATGATTAAACAAAAAACAAATTTAAAAAAATCTGTAAATATTNCGTACTTCTTGCTGAAATTGTAGTTTTTTTAATGTAGTGTAGGACCTACAAACACTTGTCTTTTTCTTCTACCCGCGACCCTCCTTGTAAGGCTTTGCGTCCCCCAGGAGGGTCGCACAAGTGGGCAACCCACAGGTTCAACCTGTGGGTTGCCCACTTGTAACCTGGTTGAACACTGGTAACAGGTTGAACCTGTGGGTTGCCCACAGGTTGAAAAACACTAATAAATCATCCTGGTTATGTAATAAGGTATCAAATACAATTGGCTCACCTAAGAAATCTTGAATATTATGTTGATTTGACTTCTCATTAATGTTCCCAGTCTCCATGTAGGTATCTTGAAGATTTTTATCCGATTGTAAATTAAAGTCTGTAATTAATCAGGAACTTGTAGCAGAGTTATCATTGCATTTACTCACTGATTTGGCTCGGTTAAGTGGTGGTCTTTCCCGCTTAATTGGAGAATGTTGCATTGCCAATAATATTAGACTTTCCTTATTATTATTTATGTTTTTAACTATTAATTTTTTTAACAATTCAAAAAGATGGTTAAATCAAATAGTTGATTTTAAGATTATTGTCACAAATGAAGTGCGTAGAAAAATTCACCAGCAGCACCGAGAGTAGGAAACAACTCCCTTTACTCTTTATAATTAAAATTAATATACATCATAAATATATTAAAATATGTAAATAAAATATATTTCTAATATTGCTTTGTATTTACATAATTTAATTAAGTTTTATATATTATAAAAACTTTTGTAATTTCATAGTAATTTAATAATAAACTTTATATTTCAGTTTGGTTGTGAGTTACTATAATTTCATACATATGCAGGAATGCTTTCATCTAGTGAACCTGGGAATATTAATTCAGAAATTCAAAAAGAAGAAATAGAAAATCATCATTGTTGGAATCTTGAGACAATTCCTACTGAACTATTTCTTTTAATCTGTTCATTCCTCGATGCAAAATTTGTGATAAGTACGTTGAGTCAAGTTAATAAAAGATTCTATGACATAATTAAAGAATATACGACATGGAAATTTAGAATAACCAAAAGATGGCCCAAAAAGTATCCAATTGTTTCTGGTAAAGTTTCTTTTTACTATATACGTGTCGAAATTCCCCCCACTGAAGGGAGATGGTTAGGATTAAGGCTTATGGTAAAGAACTCTGCTTCTATTTATACTATTTTAGATGCGGGTTTTTGCGTTTTTGATTGCGTTTTAATAGGGTACGTCAACAGAATGTACACTGAGAAGAAATTTTTTGAAAAATTTTCTTCCCCCACGGGGGAAGTGTTATACATTTATAATAGATACATTTTGAGCCACAACAACGCATGGCGGGGTCTGCTAGTTAGAGAATATAGATAATAAAATTTACAAAATATCTTTATTCTCTATCAATCAAATTAAGTGGAAATAAGAAAATGTTTCAATAANATCCCACTGGGGAAGTGTTATACATTTATAATAGATACATTTTGAGCCACAACAACGCATGGCGGGGTCTGCTAGTTAGAGAATATAGATAATAAAATTTACAAAATATCTTTATTCTCTATCAATCAAATTAAGTGGAAATAAGAAAATGTTTCAATAAACAAAAATGTTACCTTGACATGAAATGTAAATCAAAGAAGACAATTAGTGATATCAAATACTGTATTACATCTTACAATTGAATTAGAACTACTACTGCTATGTTTATTATTTAGCTAAAAGAATTTGGTTTTAAATATTAGTTTATATATTAAGTTATCAAGTGAAATTATTAATGCCCTAAAACATTGGCTACACGCTCTACTCATGTATAAGCTGGAAAAGTGAAAGTTGTAAAGAAATGGTCATTTTTTGTGGACAAGCTGCTTATGGATTGTGATCTGTAGCCAAGATATTAGATACGGCTTCAGAATTAAAACTAATAGGAAAGGAATATCATCAAGAGTAACACTGTTTATGTAAATCTCACTGTAAAAATCGTACTTACTAAACCTTTATTGTCCGGTACTTGTAAATTATTTGTAAAACAAACGTTTTCGGCCTCAGTCGAGGTCTGCTTCAGGTTAAAATAATTGGATTCCATTTTTCAAATGCACGTTTAGTTTTAAATATAATCGAATTTCATGCGCGTGTTACGTATCATCGTTTTTGTTGTTCTTCGCATACGTAACGCCAAGCATAAGAAAGCGTGTTTCCGTCTTTGGTGTTTATACATCTCCCTGTCCTGCCTGCTTTGTAGATTTCTAGGGCTTCAAGGGCTCTGATGTGATCCGTATGAAAAGCTCTATTTATTAATCTGGCTTTTGATAGTTCTGCGTGAATATCTGGGTCGGTTGCGTAGGTGGATAGTGCAGTGGTGTAACGAGCATGTTCTATGTCATATTTGTGCTCTTTAACTCTCTGTTGGATTGAACGCTTCGTGGAGCCGATGTATACCATTTTTTGCTTAAACCTATCATCTCTCACCGGAATACTATATACCCCCGGAGCTCTCAGATCGTTCTGTTTGTCTTTTGCATTACGTAGTAATTGGTATATATTGGGAGTTCTTCGGTACGCTACCCTGGTGTTCGTTTTAGTTGCAATTTCTCTATATAACACTTGAAACTGTTTGCTGTATTCAACTATGTATGCGAGGGGTGAGTTGAGCTATGTAAACCCTTTCAAGAGAAGTTGTGCTTGGGTTCCGATTTTAGTTGGTCTTGAACGTGTATTGTGCTCTAATGTACATTCCTTTTTAGTCCTCTTATTCTTTGTGTTACCTCGACACCACCTTTCATTATATCCATATTCTGACAATATCAGCAATTTGATTAAATAGTTCATCATTAGATGTTTTTATAAGATTGGATATCCTATTCCGTAAAACAGTAGATGAAGTGTCTAATAAATCAGTGTTTTTCAACCTTCTTGAATACGCGACCCTTTACAAGTTAAAAAATTCTGGTGACCCCCCTAGGGCCATATTAAAACTATATCAGTGATTTTAAAAACTATGTATTTAATTTTCTTTCTGTTGAGACAAATTATTGTTGATTAAAATGAAAATTTCAGACGAATCGACAATACTTTAACACACATAAAGTATGAAACTTCCTTTAATTATAACATTAGGCGCAGGGAACTGTTGACCTTTTTTTTTTAGTATCTGAATTTTCAGCTTCTACTTTCCTACTTTTTACTTCTTTTTGCAAATCAGCTCAACACTTTTTCCGCTATCATTTTCTGGGGTGGGCCGTAATTCTTGCTGAAATTGTAGTTTTTTTAATGTAGTGTAGGACCTACAAACACTTGTCTTTTTCTTCTACCCGCGACCCTCCTTGTAAGGCTTTGCGTCCCCCAGGAGGGTCGCACAAGTGGGCAACCCACAGGTTCAACCTGTGGGTTGCCCACTTGTAACCTGGTTGAACACTGGTAACAGGTTGAACCTGTGGGTTGCCCACAGGTTGAAAAACACTAATAAATCATCCTGGTTATGTAATAAGGTATCAAATACAATTGGCTCACCTAAGAAATCTTGAATATTATGTTGATTTGACTTCTCATTAATGTTCCCAGTCTCCATGTAGGTATCTTGAAGATTTTTATCCGATTGTAAATTAAAGTCTGTAATTAATCAGGAACTTGTAGCAGAGTTATCATTGCATTTACTCACTGATTTGGCTCGGTTAAGTGGTGGTCTTTCCCGCTTAATTGGAGAATGTTGCATTGCCAATAATATTAGACTTTCCTTATTATTATTTATGTTTTTAACTATTAATTTTTTTAACAATTCAAAAAGATGGTTAAATCAAATAGTTGATTTTAAGATTATTGTCACAAATGAAGTGCGTAGAAAAATTCACCAGCAGCACCGAGAGTAGGAAACAACTCCCTTTACTCTTTATAATTAAAATTAATATACATCATAAATATATTAAAATATGTAAATAAAATATATTTCTAATATTGCTTTGTATTTACATAATTTAATTAAGTTTTATATATTATAAAAACTTTTGTAATTTCATAGTAATTTAATAATAAACTTTATATTTCAGTTTGGTTGTGAGTTACTATAATTTCATACATATGCAGGAATGCTTTCATCTAGTGAACCTGGGAATATTAATTCAGAAATTCAAAAAGAAGAAATAGAAAATCATCATTGTTGGAATCTTGAGACAATTCCTACTGAACTATTTCTTTTAATCTGTTCATTCCTCGATGCAAAATTTGTGATAAGTACGTTGAGTCAAGTTAATAAAAGATTCTATGACATAATTAAAGAATATACGACATGGAAATTTAGAATAACCAAAAGATGGCCCAAAAAGTATCCAATTGTTTCTGGTAAAGTTTCTTTTTACTTGATTAATTTTCTTACATTATTTTATTATGCAATATAGATCCAATTCTTTTTTTACACTGTAGAAGCAAATTCACAAAAAAATCTATGTTAAAAAAATCATGTAAGAAAGGATAATGTTCATATGGAAAAAATAGAAGATTGGTTCCAGACCTTAAAAAGCAGTAAAAATAATAAGATAATAGGATGTGTTTAAAGAAAATATTTCAATTTTAGGTAATAAATCAAAAGAGAAACAATTGTAACTATAACTTAGTTATTGGAAAAATTTAATAAATTTATGTTATTGCACAAATTTTATTTTTTCTGTACTGAAAGAAATTGAAAGAAATACAATCTTATAAACAAATGATCAAATGTTCAATTAAATTTTTCTGAATGCTTCAATTGGGGATAATGAAATTATTGTTACCATACATATTCAACTAAGTCATAAAAAATAGCAAAATCTTAAAATTTACTTGAACATATATAGCAGCCTTAAATGCAAATTCTAAGAAGTTTTTTAAAAAAGCAACAGAGCTAGAAAGAAAAGAAAGTATGAATATTTTTTCTTGTAATTAAAATCAAATGGAGATTTTTAAAAAGGCAAATTTATTAAAATGTGTTAGATTAAAGCAATTATGTAAAAAGAGAATTGAGTTGTTTTCCACATTGTGTTAAATCAGTCACACAAAAAAATTTTATGTAAAAATGGAATTGGATGTATTTAAAATTTATTTGTTTTTGATATTGTATACAGTGGTGCCTCGTATAACATATGCCTCGAATAACGGATGCTGCGAACAACGGACTTTCTGTTTGGCCGTTACGTGACTCAAGCAACGGACTGGCTGCGAACAACGGACTTTCCATTTGGCAGTTACCTGAGGCAAACAACGGATTTTCTGCGAACAAGTGCGAATGATGTTTTCACTCTTTTGTCGTTGTCAATGACAATCTGCTATTTTTATAATATATTAGTATTATTAGAATATATTATTAGTATATCTAAAGTACAGAGCTCCCATTGGGATTTGGCTTGCTCCCTTGTTTATTACATACATCACCTCAGTGCGGGGTATTTACATTTACTCAAGTGTTGTGCAAATCATGGCTTCTAAAAAAACAGAAAGGTGATTTCAATTGAAACAAAGCAAGACATCATCAGAAGGAGTGAAAGTTGACAAAAACTTCCTTGTCAAATGGGGAGAGGTTCAGGAGTTTAATCCAAACACAAATTATTTATTGTATTTATACAGACACTTGGCAAACTGTATAAATACGATAAATAATTTGTGTTTGGATTAAAAATTACTGGCACGGTTTCAAAAATACCAGTTTACCAACACTCATTATCCAAACAGAGCTGAGGCCAACAGGATCAATGATCTCTACAATGACACCCTTGCCCATCATTTCTGAAAGGTGTTGAAGAAGAGACCACCTTGGACATGTTTTTCAAGGAGCAAGCTGCCAAAAAACAAAGGATGGAACTAGAGGAGATGACCCTGCAAGCTCCGGTAGCCTCTCCTGATTCTGACTCCGATTAAAAAACAATAAAAAGAGACCTGCTGCAATGTGTAAAAAGTCTGTATCTGTATGAATGTGTAAAGAAAGTGTTCTCCACCTCCTCCTCACAACATCTCACTACCCGGCATAATTGGTGACTGCTCCATTTTCATTTTTTTTATGGAACAGTACGGTTATTTTATGCTGCGGAACGAATTATATGTTTTAACATGTTTTTCTATGGTAAAATGCGTTTCATATAACGGACTTTTCACTTAACGGATGTGCACCTGGAACGGATTAAGTACGTTATATGAGGCATCACTGTATTTTGTTTAAAAAGGAGAAAATATAACAATAATAATGATATTTTATTTTATTAGTAGTATTTTGTATTCAACTGTACCAATTCAATTATATTTCCAGAAAAATTTTATTTGCTACTAGTTAAAGTGACAGTCTTTTATTAGTCAATTAATTTAAATGTCATTTACTTTTTTTCAAAGACATATATTATTATTAATTTTCTCCAAATTATTGATATTTTAAATTACATCATTTTTGTCTTGCCATTGATTTTCCTACATTAAATTTTGTAATATTATTTTGCAATTACTTAATCAGTGTACATTTAATTAATATTGTTTATAAGAATAGTTATAAATTATAAGTATAAAAAATATTTTAAAGTGACACAATATACTGGAATTGGAACCACAGAAGATGGTTGGGTATACACACAACCGTAGTGTGTGTGTACAGTACATATATATGTATCAATGTATAAAATCTTATTTCATTATATTAATCTATAATGTTGGAATTTGAATATCGGGGAGTGTTTTTCCATTGTTTCTTATGGGAAACTTTGGAACTTGTTCCCATTCTGTGTGATAACCTCAATCAGTTTCCTCACTGATTAAGTTTTTTGCAATGTTTTAGTGTCACAAATGACACTAAAACATTGCAAAAAACCTATTAACTTATTAATCCTTGATATTAGCATGATGTACCAATTAACTTACTAACAACCACTTAATGAGGCCATTAAAGGATTTGTAAGTAGTAACAAAACAAGTTTATATAATGCACCTATGAATTGTATATGAATTTTTCTTTTATAATTTTTAGTTAACAGTAATGAAAATGTTGTAATTATACTATAAATTTTATATTAATAATATATAAAAACAAAGCAATAATGAAAATAAACAAAGCATTAAACTTACTATAATGAAGTATTAAGAATAAGCCAGTAGTTTATGACCACTGTGCCATGAAACAGTTCTAAGTGTGCTGCAAAATTAATGAATAACTTGAAATGACAAATTTTAAAATTTGTAAAAAAAAAACAACAAAATAAACCTCTATGCATTATTAATATATTGCAGAAGTTTGTAGTAGTCAAAAATCATAGAAAAGATATTATAAATTATGAAGATATAAATCATATTTTGTATATGATTTTAGCATGAATTCATGAAAATGCTTCCTTGTTTATACAATTGATTTTCCTAAAACTTCCTTCTGATTACTAATTTATTTTAAAATTAATTTGCCACAATTCCCAAACATTTCTGATCAGTTAAAATATTAAAAAAGTATTAAACAATCTCTTTCTATTCTTATCAAGAGAGAGGGTTTCCTTACCAAATGATTAGAATGGCCTGAAAATGAAATAAAATATAGGATTTGTGATGATTTTTTATGACAGGTGAAGGAGAGTCATGTTGTGGGACATTAGTAACATTTCTTGCTAGATGTCAGCTTGGAAATAAAATTTTCTTTTTCAAAAATGATAGCTTGTTTTAGCTTACTTTTTGAACAAACAAATATAAACTATTAATTTGTAACAGATGTACAATGTATAAACTGTAAAATAGCTTATTTTTCATGATATTATAGTTTTGCATAATAATTTGTGATCTTTAATGCATTAACTATGCATTAAAGACCAACTTGATTTTTATGAAACATATATACAGTAGAATCCTAATTATCTGATTTGCACGTTATTCTAGGCAAACCTGTAACTGAATACACTACTTTTCTTATATTGTAAAAGAATAAAATATAAAAGTAAAAAGTATAAAAAGAATGTTTAAAATGGTAACATTTATTACAAATTTATTTTGTTTCTGTTACTTTTTATTATTTAATTTCAATGTGAGATAAATCATTTATATTAAAATATAACTATAATAATACATATTTTTATGTACAGTATTATTATTTTAATGGAAAGTTGAGATGAAGTCATATTTTGTGGCCAGCAAAACATTGAACAGTTGCTAATAGAGCCATCACTTCTAGTGCTGACACTCTTGTATGAACTATTTATGAACATTTGTGGGATTTTATTGTATTTGACTTATTATTTTTATTTATTTTTTTCTCTAAACATTTTTGACTGTTCTTTTTGCTGCTTGAGGCAGTTGCCTCATCATCTTACCCATTGAACTATCTGTCAATGCCTTTCAGGAAGAGCTTCAAGACTGTCAAACTTTATTTTTGTTACTCCATTTGTTATAGTGAGTGACTTACTTAAAGACTTGCTAAAGCATTTCTTATGTATAATAAAAGATTTAGCTACTACTCATGATAATAAAATGATCACAATCATTTTATCATCATGAGATTTTTGTAATTCTTTTGATTTATGAAGCCTTGCTCTAAAATCATCAATAATGAAGTCTGGCTTGCTTTTCAAACCTGATTATTGACATCAGTCAAACAGTTTACAATTACAGGAACAATTTGCTGATCTATTACTGAGCCTAGGTAATGGCAGTGTTCATGGCAAAATGCAGCAATGTGTGGAAGATGTTCAATAAGATCTGCTCTGACAGTAGGATTGTCATCATCCAGTAGTTTGCACATAACTGATATGACAGCGGATACTTCATTCTGATTATCAACCACTGAGTGAAGAGTACTGAGTATGTTACAAGCAACATCTCGTCTGTTATATATCACATCACTTTCTTGCAAATTTTTCTAAATTAACAACTTTGGGATTACATAGTAATTCTTCTGAACCATCAATCTTATCAGAACATTCAGTTTCTTCATTCATTGATATATCTTTTGTTTCATCCTCTGTAACTGTCACTATCTTTTGTTTCATCCTCTGTAAAATTGCACTCATCAACAGACGAACGATCTTCTTGGAAGATTTTTACAATTAAATTTTAAAGTGATATTTTACTAAACAGTAAAATTCATAAAACAGTAGCATAAAAATAGATGATTGGTTGAAAATAGATTAAATTAATGAAACTATTTTGTACTTGGGAAATATTTAGTTCATATTACAGAAATGAGAAAAATGATATAATTTTTCAAACATATATTTGATTATCTCTTCCTTACAAAATAACANATCATTTATATTAAAATATAACTATAATAATACATATTTTTATGTACAGTATTATTATTTTAATGGAAAGTTGAGATGAAGTCATATTTTGTGGCCAGCAAAACATTGAACAGTTGCTAATAGAGCCATCACTTCTAGTGCTGACACTCTTGTATGAACTATTTATGAACATTTGTGGGATTTTATTGTATTTGACTTATTATTTTTATTTATTTTTTTCTCTAAACATTTTTGACTGTTCTTTTTGCTGCTTGAGGCAGTTGCCTCATCATCTTACCCATTGAACTATCTGTCAATGCCTTTCAGGAAGAGCTTCAAGACTGTCAAACTTTATTTTTGTTACTCCATTTGTTATAGTGAGTGACTTACTTAAAGACTTGCTAAAGCATTTCTTATGTGTAATAAAAGATTTAGCTACTACTCATGATAATAAAATGATCACAATCATTTTATCATCATGAGATTTTTGTAATTCTTTTGATTTATGAAGCCTTGCTCTAAAATCATCAATAATGAAGTCTGGCTTGCTTTTCAAACCTGATGATTATTGACATCAGTCAAACAGTTTACAATTACAGGAACAATTTGCTGATCTATTACTGAGCCTAGGTAATGGCAGTGTTCATGGCAAAATGCAGCAATGTGTGGAAGATGTTCAATAAGATCTGCTCTGACAGTAGGATTGTCATCATCCAGTAGTTTGCACATAACTGATATGACAGCGGATACTTCATTCTGATTATCAACCACTGAGTGAAGAGTACTGAGTATGTTACAAGCAACATCTCGTCTGTTATATATCACATCACTTTCTTGCAAATTTTTCTAAATTAACAACTTTGGGATTACATAGTAATTCTTCTGAACCATCAATCTTATCAGAACATTCAGTTTCTTCATTCATTGATATATCTTTTGTTTCATCCTCTGTAACTGTCACTATCTTTTGTTTCATCCTCTGTAAAATTGCACTCATCAACAGACGAACGATCTTCTTGGAAGATTTTTACAATTAAATTTTAAAGTGATATTTTACTAAACAGTAAAATTCATAAAACAGTAGCATAAAAATAGATAATTGGTTGAAAATAGATTAAATTAATGAAACTATTTTGTACTTGGGAAATATTTAGTTCATATTACAGAAATGAGAAAAATGATATAATTTTTCAAACATATATTTGATTATCTCTTCCTTACAAAATAACAATTTTCCTAATTAATTTGCATATATTTTATACTAAAGATATGTATTGTCAATTTATTAATAGAACACATAGACAGTATTTTCTTTTTCCAACCTAAAAGGAAAAAAATGAAAAGATATCTTTTATTAAATTTTAGAAATTTTGAAATAATTGATAATGGTAAAGATTTCTTTCCTTTTGGATTGGAAAGATTTTTTACTTCATTCTAATTTTTAAAAATTAAATTATAAATCTTATTAGCTGTAGGGATATAATTTGTCTATCATTATTTCTGAGTATTGAAATACTTATTATTTAGTTCCTGATGAATTATTTGACTGGAAGAAAGCATGTGTTCAACGTGAAGAGCAGTATAAGTTATGGTCACAATGGGAAACACATATGAGTTATTTTTGTATTTCTGGTGCTCACTATGCAGCTGTTGATGTTGTTCATTTTCTTGAGGTTTGTATATATAAATTATTAATTTATAATTACATTTTTTTCTTTAAATTGAACAAATGTAAATGATAACAATGTTTTAAAGTAGATTTTCAATTTAATTTGTTTTTATTTAATGATATAAAAAATACATATATTATGTTTTTTATTGAAAGTCATTATGTAAAAAAAGTTAATTCATGATGCTTTGAAACATGTTTAATAACTATTACTCCTAATTATATTTCAGAAAGCATGAGATTTAAAATCCCTCTTTCTTTTTGAGGATAATAATTAAAACACAAACATTTATCAACAGTATCAAAGTCATTTTAGATCATATAATGATCTTTCATATCTTTACAGCTTAATTAGATCTTTACTGCTCCTAAGATCTCTTGACATTTTTCAAGAGAAATAATTGACATTTTATTAGAATGTCATCTGGCATTTAATCTGATGGATTTATGAAGATTTTATTTTCCTGAATTTACTGTACTTAATGACACATTCTAATATCAATGTTATTTCATAAAATACAGAATAAATTATGCAAATAAAGTAATCCATGGTGGTATATAAAACACACTGGATTTATATTCTGTATAAAGTTTCTAGAATGGAAATAAAATCTTTGCATAACCCACACCACTATATATCTTGCAGCTCTCAATGTGACCATTGAAAACATGGTAATAGTATGCAGTTTAGAAAGTATTAGCGAACATACAAACATTTTTGTTTTATTATATAAACCTGAGGCAGGTAGCTCAATCTGCCACTGATTACAAAGAAGCTGTTATTGGTGTGATTTTCTTGAAATTTTTAATACCAAAGGGCTTAAAACTTTTCTATCTGATCTTTAGAATTTAGGATGTGTTTTAGATTATTGAATAATTTTTCTTCTTGAAACAGTTTATACTGCTAAAGATAAGCTAGGAAAGCTTAAAATCACTTATTGTTTAATTGTTACTCATTCTCCTAATGGATTCTTTAGTGATAAATATAAATTTTGCTGAAGGGAACTAATCAATCACAGAAGGAACATACCAGTACTTGACTATGCAAACTTTATTATACCAGGAAATGAATTTTGGGCCTTCTATCTTCAGTCCTATATTTCAGACCTACTTAATTAAACAATAAATTCTACATAATTTGTATACATAATACTAAATGCATAATACATTTTCAAAAAATTTAAATATGGTAAATTACCTTTGACTGTTTATTTTTTTAATATATTAGTCATCACAGTATGAATAAACTTTGTATTGATAAATTAATAATAATATGAAAATAAAATTAATTTTATTTTAGTTTCTTTCAGAAAAATTTACTTATGCTTATCACTAAAGAAAAACATTTATGCTTCACAGACATAAAGATATCACTTCCATAAAGCATAATTTTCTTATATATTTAAATGTTTTTATAATTTTTAATATCGAATTACTGAATTATTATAGATTTCCATCCCTTGGTTTATGATTTAATTTTTCAGGGAAGCCATCTTTTTGTATCTGGTTCAAGAGATCGAAGTTTAAAACTTTGGGATGTTAGTAAATTTGACTCTACTCAGGCTTCTTCAGATTTCAGAAGTTGTCTTTCAGAAATTAGAATTGATGCCCATCAGGTATTTAATTTATTTCTTATAGACATTATATTTTTGAATGTTTGTACATGTTTTTATTATTTAAAATTATTAATTGACTCATTGTATTTTGAATAAAGTATAAGAATCTATATTAAATAGACTCTGGTAATTTGCTATCAATTTGTAGGACTTATCACTGAACTTTCCAATTGAAAACTATGGTCTGATAAGTCTTACAAATTGATAGCAAATTCAAAAGTGGCTATTAAGAATATTATTTATGAAATAGGACAAAAAGCAAATAAGTTAATTATAATATTACAGACCCAGATATGTTATTTTTTTTATATACTTAACACTTAAATGTGTCTAATAATTTTAAATTTATATACTAGGGATGGATATGGTCACTAGCATCTGCTGGACATCAATTTTATAGTGGAGGTTGGGATGCAAATATAAAATGTTGGGATATGAAGGCAAATTTTAGCAATGTGAAAATTGTCAAGTAAGTTATGTTTTATGCTTTAAAATTTATTTTCTTAAAATTTATTAAAAATCTTTATATTTTCCTAAATAGTTGGAACTCTGCAATTTTGTGTTTAGATTACTTCGGTAATTTACTTACAGCTGGTACTTATGGTAAACAAGTATTATTGTTTGATCCCAGGACTAAATTAGACAGTGTAATGTATCATGCAAATCATAAAAGAGCAGTCTTATGTATTGCTATGGATGATAATTTTATAATCACTGGTAGTGAAGATCAATCATTAATAGTTTTTGACAAGAGGAATAGGAAATTATTAAATGTTATAAAGGTAAACTAATAAAAATTATTTACCATTAATTTTAATTAGATCTTTTAATTATTCATAGAAATGTTATTTTGTGAAATTTTATTATATAATAGAGTAATAAAATTTTTCTAAAGTTTAGTATAATTCTGTTATTTTGGACTACTGTAAATATTTCATTCCAGTAAATTGTCTCAAAAATTATTTTGTCTTTTAAAGTTGTAATGAATTGTTATAAATTTTTTTTTTTTTTTTTTTTTTTTTTTTTTTTTTTAATGTATGAATTTCTTACATACAATCTCTATTATTTCTTGAATAAAGTACTGTATAAGCAAACTATTCTGCAAAATAATGTCTTTAATAATAATAATAACTCTCCCGTGGTCACCACCTGGTCGTGGTGGGAGAGCCCAGTAGTTTTACAGATCCATAGGGCAATGCAGGCTGGAGCACAAGCTCCTGGTAGGGACACCCATGCCAGTAAGGTCTATGGGGAGAAATGAAGCTAAGAGTGACCACACACCCACATTCTGTGGAGATAATCATTATGGTAGTAACCAGATC